ATGTTAACATTAAAAGTAAATAAAATGAAACGAGTGACAGCTAGAGGGCACTTTTAGAGGTCAAAGGTCTTGGTTGTAGCTTTTTTTTTCAATTCGTTACAACAATAAAGATTCGTCTAACCTGCAAGTTAACTTTTAGGTTGTTAAATCTTTTCCTATACCTCAGAAGGCCTGGCATGGCCTGCTGGTTAGGGGGGTTCGTAAGACATTATAACGGACGGTCAACCCCACTATTCGTTGCTAATAAAAAGGAGTCCAAGAGTTGGCGGTGGGTGATATTGACTAGCTGCCTTTCCTCTAGTCTATTACTGCTAAATTAGGGTCAGCTAGCGCAGATAGCCCTTGCGTAGCTTAGCGAGAAATTCAAAACAAATCAAACCAAAACTAGGCCTCAGCTATCTTACAACGCTACTATACATGGTTTTCTTACCTGGTTGCCAATATATTCTGTTTTTCCTGGTGAGGACACCACAAGAAGCAAATGGAATGCAGTCATAACAACTCCCAAGATTATGCAAACACGTAATCTAACAGGAAAAAGGACGTAAATTAAATAGGAATACAGAAGAACCCACGGGACCGAGTCACTAGGCATGATGGGTACCTGGTAAATCCACATGTCACATAAAACCTGCACCACCTGGAGGAACCAAGCAATAAAAGGAATCACGATCCATGTCCAACTGGGCAAGTCTTTGAAGGTGCACATTAGGAAGGAGCCTACGTCTACTAACCCCACAAGAATGAGCACGATCAGATGATATATACGAGAAAGACGAAATGAGTAACTATGGAAACATAGAAGCACTAAGTTGACTAGGAAGATTATAGCTAAGCATAATTTGAAGTCGTTCCTTTTCTCGTTTTGGTAATATTCTTTGTACAAACGTTCTGCTCCGTGATCTGCGAAGACAAAACGCATACATTGTGGCAGGCAACGTTGAAAGCCACTGTTGTCGAGACTGAGGCTGGTATCACCTCGATGAAGAAGAGAGTGTCTTTTAGTTGCCGGACTTCTAGAGGAGGCAGAGTGATTTTCATAATCTACAGCTTTCTCCAAAGATACGTGTTTGATACCATTCGGTGGCGCACTGTATCTTCTAAAAGTAACGAGTTCCTTAACTTCCTCCTTTTGCCCTGAAAGTTCCTGCGTAGAGGGCAATATTTCACAGCTTATGAATTTTCCCTGCCTAGGAAGATTGCTGTTTGATGGCTTGGAGGATAAGTCTGTTTGTTCTTCCGGAGGACTGTCTGTGATTGGATACTTCTCATCACGTGAAGAGTTACTTTCTCTCATAATAGGAATGTTTTTAAGAGATTTGTTCAGAGATCCTTTAACATCTTGCTCGTATCCTTTGATGAGCAAAAAGGGTTTCGAGTGGTCACAACCTTGATTCTCTGTTGAAATAAGCTCACAGTGTAATTCCGAGGAAGAAGTAAGGTCTTTATTTTCTTTTATTGACATTTTGGGAACCTTTGTATACGTACTTTGGAAGAAAAGACCTCATTTCGGAAGAAAATATTTTGAAGAATCATCAGCGCCCTGTTTGAAAAACAAGAACAAAAACTGTAGCAGTAATCTATGATCGAAGCTTAAATTGAAACCGAAAACAGAAATCACGCCGTTCTGAATGAGTCATTGTTACCACAAATAATCACATATCTTAGACATCTTACTCCTTAATACATTGAGAAACTAACACACACACACACACACATAAAAAAAAGAATAGCATACAAGTTATAACATTAGTTTTTAACACACAGTGAACTGTAGATTATAAATTTAATGAATATATCTACGATATTTCTACTGGTTATGAAATACAGACTTATCGTTATCAATTTTTAAAAGAAAAATGAAAGCCAAACTGGATGATAAATGATGACACCGTTTATTGGATATTTTTGATGTGAAGAGATATTATGCTACAAATAAAGCGGTATCGTACTAAGAATTAAAGTGATTTGTTTAGTGACGTCATTTGTTACTGCGTTATAAAAGTGGCAGCCAACCTCATTCAAGAAATCGGACAAAGTCCTTGGGGTGGAGGAGTTACTAACTGGCTTTCCAGCCTCTGGTCAGCAGCTCAAAATTAAAGACAGCTATATATGAACCCTACGGATTTCTGATCTAGCCGTTTAGCTCACGTGCCTATAAGGTGCTGTTCAGGTTGAAAATATAAATTCCTGTTTTCCTGTTTGTGTTAAATCTAAATGCTGTTTTTAAGGATTGGAGCGATTAAGTGATTTATCTTTGTATCTATGGCAAAGCTACTATATAAGGCTATATACTGCCGTCCTAATTTTGAACTTTTGACCAGAGGCAAGGCAACAGGTTAGCATCACTCTATCACCCACTATCCATGCTAAGGGATTGCCTGTCACGCTTGTAACACACTCTCAGCTTGAAGTGCATGGAATATTTTGTGGTATCGCACGGATTTGGACCCGACTTGCCAACTCCGAAATCCAAAGCTTTATTACAGGACCAACCCGTGCCCTGATGCAATTAAGAATTAAAACAAAAGATAAATCCACAAGCAAATGGAAAATATATTGTAAAGTTTTGATTATGTGCAGTGATTGGTTGAAAATGTTCATTCATCATGTATTATCAACAATCAGTTAAATTAGCGAAATATCTTAGTTGTTTATTATATCACTCTGATTATTAAATTAGCGAAATATCTTAGTTGTTTATTATATCACTCTGATTATTAAATTAGCGAAATATCTTAGTTGTTTATTATATCACTCTGATTATTAAATTAGTGAAATATCTTAGTTGTTTATAATATCATGCTGATTATTAAATTAGTGAAATATCTTAGTTGTTTATTATATCACTCTGATT